CATAAGTGGTATACAAAAATCCTGTAAACCCTTTAAGGAAAGAAGCATCAGAGAAGGAAGCTCTGCCTTCACAGATTCCTTCATTCTGCATGCAAATAAATGCTGAAAGTTTGAATGAAGACTGTCAGTGTTGTTCAGATATATGAGTAGCTGATCCTCAAGCTGTATTCCTCATTTGTCTCAGAATGACAGGTTTGGTGTTGGTCTGGAGACCAACTAGCAGGTTTGGTGTTGGTCTGGAGACCAACTAGCAGGTTTGGTGTTCGCTGGAGACCACTAGCAGGTTTGGTGTTGAGCTGGAGACCCCTAGCAGGTTTGGTGTTGAGCTGGAGACCAACTAACAGGTTTGGTGTTGGACTGGAGACCAACTAGCAGGTTTGGTGTTGGACTAGAGATCAACTAGCAGGTTTGGTGTTGGGCTGGAGACCAACTAGCAGGTTTAGTGTTGGACTGGAGACCAACTAGCAGGTTTGGTGTTCGCTGGAGACCAACTAGCAGGTTTGGTGTTGGGCTGGAGACCACTAGCAGGTTTAGTGTTGGGCTGGAGACCAACTAGCAGGTTTGGTGTTCGCTGGAGACCAACTAGTAGGTTTGGTGTTGGACTGGAGACCAACTAGCAGGTTTGGTGTTGGACTAGAGATCAACTAGCAGGTTTGGTGTTGGGCTGGAGACCAACTAGCAGGTTTAGTGTTGGGCTGGAGACCAACTAGCAGGTTTGGTGTTCGCTGGAGACCAACTAGCAGGTTTGGTGTTGGACTGGAGACCAACTAGCAGGTTTGGTGTTGGTCTGGAGACCAACTAGCAGGTTTGGTGTTGGTCTGGAGACTAACTAGCAGGTTTGGTGTTGGGCTGGAGACCAACTAGCAGGTTTGGTGTTGAACTGGAGACCAACTAGCAGGTTTGGTGTTGGTCTGGAGACCAACTAGCAGGTTTGGTGTTCGCTGGAGACCAACTAGCAGGTTTGGTGTTGGACTGGAGACCAACTAGCAGGTTTGGTGTTCGCTGGAGACCAACTAGCAGGTTTGGTGTTCGCTGGAGACCAACTAGCAGGTTTGGTGTTCGCTGGAGACCAACTAGCAGGTTTGGTGTTCGCTGGAGACCAACTAGCAGGTTTGGTGTTCGCTGGAGACCAACTAGCAGGTTTGGTGTTCGCTGGAGACCAACTAGCAGGTTTGGTGTTCGCTGGAGACCAACTAGCAGGTTTGGTGTTCGCTGGAGACCAACTAGCAGGTTTGGTGTTCGCTGGAGACCAACTAGCAGGTTTGGTGTTCGCTGGAGACCAACTAGCAGGTTTGGTGTTCGCTGGAGACCAACTAGCAGGTTTGGTGTTCGCTGGAGACCAACTAGCAGGTTTGGTGTTCGCTGGAGACCAACTAGCAGGTTTGGTGTTCGCTGGAGACCAACTAGCAGGTTTGGTGTTCGCTGGAGACCAACTAGCAGGTTTGGTGTTCGCTGGAGACCAACTAGCAGGTTTGGTGTTCGCTGGAGACCACTAGCAGGTTTGGTGTTCGCTGGAGACCAACTAGCAGGTTTGGTGTTCGCTGGAGACCAACTAGCAGGTTTGGTGTTCGCTGGAGACCAACTAGCAGGTTTGGTGTTCGCTGGAGACCAACTAGCAGGTTTGGTGTTCGCTGGAGACCAACTAGCAGGTTTGGTGTTCGCTGGAGACCAACTAGCAGGTTTGGTGTTCGCTGGAGACCAACTAGCAGGTTTGGTGTTCGCTGGAGACCAACTAGCAGGTTTGGTGTTCGCTGGAGACCAACTAGCAGGTTTGGTGTTCGCTGGAGACCAACTAGCAGGTTTGGTGTTCGCTGGAGACCAACTAGCAGGTTTGGTGTTCGCTGGAGACCAACTAGCAGGTTTGGTGTTCGCTGGAGACCAACTAGCAGGTTTGGTGTTCGCTGGAGACCAACTAGCAGGTTTGGTGTTCGCTGGAGACCAACTAGCAGGTTTGGTGTTCGCTGGAGACCAACTAGCAGGTTTGGTGTTCGCTGGAGACCAACTAGCAGGTTTGGTGTTGGACTGGAGACCAACTAGCAGGTTTGGTGTTGGACTGGAGACCAACTAGCAGGTTTGGTGTTCGCTGGAGACCAACTAGCAGGTTTGGTGTTGGGCTGGAGACCCCTAGCAGGTTTGGTGTTGAACTGGAGACCAACTAGCAGGTTTGGTGTTCGCTGGAGACCAACTAGCAGGTTTGGTGTTGGGCTGGAGACCCCTAGCAGGTTTGGTGTTGGGCTGGAGACCCCTAGCAGGTTTGGTGTTGAACTGGAGACCAACTAGCAGGTTTGGTGTTGGGCTGGAGACCAACTAGCAGGTTTGGTGTTGGGCTGGAGACCAACTAGCAGGTTTGGTGTTGGGCTGGAGACCAACTAGCAGGTTTGGTGTTGGGCTGGAGACCAACTAGCAGGTTTGGTGTTGGGCTGGAGACCAACTAGCAGGTTTGGTGTTGGGCTGGAGACCAACTAGCAGGTTTGGTGTTGGGCTGGAGACCAACTAGCAGGTTTGGTGTTGGGCTGGAGACCAACTAGCAGGTTTGGTGTTGGGCTGGAGACCAACTAGCAGGTTTGGTGTTGGGCTGGAGACCAACTAGCAGGTTTGGTGTTGGGCTGGAGACCAACTAGCAGGTTTGGTGTTGGGCTGGAGACCAACTAGCAGGTTTGGTGTTGGGCTGGAGACCAACTAGCAGGTTTGGTGTTGGGCTGGAGACCAACTAGCAGGTTTGGTGTTGGGCTGGAGACCAACTAGCAGGTTTGGTGTTGGGCTGGAGACCAACTAGCAGGTTTGGTGTGTGGGCGGGAGACCAACTAGCAGGTTTGGTGTTGGGCGGGAGACCAACTAGCAGGTTTGGTGTTGGGCTGGAGACCAACTAGCAGGTTTGGTGTTGGGCTGGAGACCAACTAGCAGGTTTGGTGTTGGGCTGGAGACCAACTAGCAGGTTTGGTGTTGGGCTGGAGACCAACTAGCAGGTTTGGTGTTGGGCTGGAGACCAACTAGCAGGTTTGGTGTTGGGCTGGAGACCAACTAGCAGGTTTGGTGTTGGGCTGGAGACCAACTAGCAGGTTTGGTGTTGGGCTGGAGACCAACTAGCAGGTTTGGTGTTGGGCTGGAGACCAACTAGCAGGTTTGGTGTTGGGCTGGAGACCAACTAGCAGGTTTGGTGTTGGGCTGGAGACCAACTAGCAGGTTTGGCGTTGGGCTGGAGACCAACTAGCAGGTTTGGCGTTGGGCTGGAGACCAACTAGCAGGTTTGGCGTTGGGCTGGAGACCAACTAGCAGGTTTGGTGTTGGGCTGGAGACCAACTAGCAGGTTTGGCGTTGGGCTGGAGACCAACTAGCAGGTTTGGCGTTGGGCTGGAGACCAACTAGCAGGTTTGGCGTTGGGCTGGAGACCCCTAGCAGGTTTGGTGTTGAACTGGAGACCAACTAGCAGGTTCGGTGTTCGCTGGAGACCCCTAGCAGGTTTGGTGTTGGGCTGGAGACCAACTAGCAGGTTTGGTGTTGGGCTGGAGACCAACTAGCAGGTTTGGTGTTGGGCTGGAGACCAACTAGCAGGTTTGGTGTTGGACTGGAGACCAACTAGCAGGTTTGGTATTGGACTGCAGACCACTAGCAGGTTTGGTGTTGGGCTGGAGACCAACTAGCAGGTTTGGTGTTGGGCTGGAGACCAACTAGCAGGTTTGGTGTTGGGCTGGAGACCAACTAGCAGGTTTGGTGTTGGGCTGGAGACCAACTAGCAGGTTTGGTGTTGGACTGGAGACCAACTAGCAGGTTTGGTGTTGGACTGGAGACCACTAGCAGGTTTGGTGTTCGCTGGAGACCACTAGCAGGTTTGGTGTTGGGCTGGAGACCAACTAGCAGGTTTGGTGTTGGGCTGGAGACCAACTAGCAGGTTTGGTGTTGGGCTGGAGACCACTAGCAGGTTTGGTGTTCGCTGGAGACCACTAGCAGGTTTGGTGTTGGGCTGGAGACCAACTAGCAGGTTTGGTGTTGGGCTGGAGACCAACTAGCAGGTTTGGTGTTGGGCTGGAGACCAACTAGCAGGTTTGGTGTTGGGCTGGAGACCAACTAGCAGGTTTGGTGTTCGCTGGAGACCACTAGCAGGTTTGGTGTTGGACTGGAGACCAACTAGCAAGTTTGGTGTTGGGCTGGAGACCACTAGCAGGTTTGGTGTTGGGCTGGAGACCAACTAGCAGGTTTGGTGTTGGGCTGGAGACCAACTAGCAGGTTTGGTATTGGGCTGGAGACCACTAGCAGGTTTGGTATTGGGCTGGAGACCAACTAGCAGGTTTGGTATTGGACTGGAGACCACTAGCAGGTTTGGTATTGGACTGGAGACCAACTAGCAGGTTTGGTGTTGGACTGGAGACCACTAGCAGGTTTGGTATTGGGCTGGAGACCAACTAGCAGGTTTGGTATTGGGCTGGAGACCAACTAGCAGGTTTGGTATTGGACTGGAGACCACTAGCAGGTTTGGTATTTGGCTGGAGACCAACTAGCAGGTTTGGTATTGGACTGGAGACCACTAGCAGGTTTGGTATTGGACTGGAGACCAACTAGCAGGTTTGGTATTGGGCTGGAGACCACTAGCAGGTTTGGTATTGGGCTGGAGACCAACTAGCAGGTTTGGTATTGGACTGGAGACCACTAGCAGGTTTGGTGTTGGACTGGAGACCAACTAGCAGGTTTGGTGTTGGACTGGAGACCACTAGCAGGTTTGGTATTGGGCTGGAGACCAACTAGCAGGTTTGGTGTTGGACTGGAGACCACTAGCAGGTTTGGTATTGGGCTGGAGACCAACTAGCAGGTTTGGTATTGGACTGGAGACCAACTAGCAGGTTTGGTGTTGGACTGGAGACCACTAGCAGGTTTGGTATTGGGCTGGAGACCAACTAGCAGGTTTGGTATTGGACTGGAGACCAACCACCAAGTAAATTTTAGTCCTAACAATAGTTGATAACTAATGTAAACTCTCATTATATATATACACTGATAACGGTACAATGATGTACGTGTTCTCTACAATGATGTACGAGTACTATGAGTACTCTACAATGCTGTACGAGTACTATGAGTACTCTACAGTGCTGTACGAGTACTATGAGTACTCTACAGTGCTGTACGAGTACTCTACAGTGCTGTACGAGTACTCTTCAGTGCTGTACGAGTACTATGAGTACTCTACAATGCTGTACGAGTACTCTACAATGTTGGACGAGTACTCTACAATGCTGTACGAGTACTATGAGTACTCTACAATGCTGTACGAGTACTCTACAATGATGTACGAGTACTCTACAATGCTGTACGAGTACTATGAGTACTCTACAATGCTGTACGAGTACTCTACAATGCTGTACGAGTACTCTACAATGATGTACGAGTACTCTACAATGATGTACGAGTACTCTACAATGCTGTACGAGTACTCTACAATGCTGTACGAGTACTATGAGTACTCTACAATGATGTACGAGTACTCTACAATGATGTACGAGTACTATGAGTACTCTACAATGTTGTACGAGTACTCTACAATGCTGTACGAGTACTCTACAATGCTGTACGAGTACTCTACAATGCAGTACGAGTACTCTACAATGCTGTACGAGTACTCTACAATGATGTACGAGTACTCTACAATGATGTACGAGTACTCTACAATGATGTACGAGTACTCTACAATGATGTACGAGTACTCTACAATGATGTACGAGTACTCTACAATGATGTACGAGTACTATGAGTACTCTACAATGCTGTACGAGTACTCTACAATGCTGTACGAGTACTCTACAATGCTGTACGAGTACTCTACAATGCTGTACGAGTACTCTACAATGATGTACGAGTACTCTACAATGATGTACGAGTACTCTACAATGATGTACGAGTACTCTACAATGATGTACGAGTACTCTACAATGATGTACGAGTACTCTACAATGCTGTACGAGTACTCTACAATGCTGTACGAGTACTATGAGTACTCTACAATGATGTACGAGTACTCTACAATGATGTACGAGTACTATGAGTACTCTACAATGCTGTACGAGTACTCTACAATGATGTACGAGTACTCTACAATGATGTACGAGTACTCTACAATGATGTACGAGTACTCTACAATGCTGTACGAGTACTCTACAATGCTGTACGAGTACTCTACAATGCTGTACGAGTACTATGAGTACTCTACAATGATGTACGAGTACTCTACAATGCTGTACGAGTACTATGAGTACTCTACAATGATGTACGAGTACTCTACAATGCTGTACGAGTACTCTACAATGCTGTACGAGTACTCTACAATGCTGTACGAGTACTATGAGTACTCTACAATGCTGTACGAGTACTCTACAATGCTGTACGAGTACTATGAGTACTCTACAATGATGTACGAGTACTCTACAATGATGTACGAGTACTATGAGTACTCTACAATGATGTACGAGTACTCTACAATGCTGTACGAGTACTCTACAATGCTGTACGAGTACTCTACAATGATGTACGAGTACTCTACAATGCTGTACGAGTACTCTACAATGATGTACGAGTACTCTACAATGCTGTACGAGTACTCTACAATGCTGCACGAGTACTCTACAATGCTGTACGAGTACTCTACAATGCTGTACGATTACTATGAGTACTCTACAATGCTGCACGAGTACTCTACAATGCTGTACGAGTACTATGAGTACTCTACAATGCTGCACGAGTACTCTACAATGCTGTACGAGTACTATGAGTACTCTACAATGCTGCACGAGTACTCTACAATGCTGTACGAGTACTCTACAATGCTGTACGAGTACTCTACAATGCTGTACGAGTACTCTACAATGCTGTACGAGTACTCTACAATGATGTACGAGTACTCTACAATGATGTACGAGTACTCTACAATGCTGTACGAGTACTCTACAATGCTGTACGAGTACTATGAGTACTCTACAATGATGTACGAGTACTCTACAATGATGTACGAGTACTATGAGTACTCTACAATGATGTACGAGTACTCTACAATGCTGTACGAGTACTCTACAATGCTGTACGAGTACTCTACAATGATGTACGAGTACTCTACAATGCTGTACGAGTACTCTACAATGATGTACGAGTACTCTACAATGCTGTACGAGTACTCTACAATGCTGTACGAGTACTATGAGTACTCTACAATGCTGTACGAGTACTATGAGTACTCTACAATGCTGTACGAGTACTCTACAATGATGTACGAGTACTCTACAATGATGTACGAGTACTCTACAATGCTGTACGAGTACTCTACAATGATGTACGAGTACTCTACAATGATGTACGAGTACTCTACAATGCTGTACGAGTACTATGAGTACTCTACAATGATGTACGAGTACTCTACAATGCTGTACGAGTACTATGAGTACTCTACAATGCTGCACGAGTACTATGAGTACTCTACAATGCTGTACGAGTACTCTACAATGATGTACGAGTACTCTACAATGCTGTACGAGTACTCTACAATGCTGTACGAGTACTCTACAATGCTGTACGAGTACTATGAGTACTCTACAATGCTGCACGAGTACTATGAGTACTCTACAATGCTGTACGAGTACTCTACAATGCTGCACGAGTACTCTACAATGCTGCACGAGTACTCTACAATGCTGCACGAGTACTCTACAATGCTGTACGAGTACTCTACAATGATGTACGAGTACTATGAGTACTCTACAATGCTGCACGAGTACTCTACAATGCTGTACGAGTACTCTACAATGATGTACGAGTACTCTACAATGCTGTACGAGTACTCTACAATGATGTACGAGTACTCTACAATGCTGTACGAGTACTCTACAATGCTGCACGAGTACTCTACAATGCTGTACGAGTACTATGAGTACTCTACAATGCTGTACGAGTACTCTACAATGATGTACGAGTACTCTACAATGCTGTACGAGTACTCTACAATGATGTACGAGTACTCTACAATGCTGTACGAGTACTCTACAATGCTGTACGAGTACTCTACAATGCTGTACGAGTACTATGAGTACTCTACAATGCTGCACGAGTACTCTTCAATGCTGTACGAGTACTCTACAATGCTGCACGAGTACTCTACAATGCTGCACGAGTACTCTACAATGCTGCACGAGTACTCTACAATGCTGCACGCGTACTCTACAATGCTGTACGAGTACTCTACAATGCTGCACGAGTACTCTACAATGCTGTACGAGTACTCTACAATGCTGTACGAGTACTCTACAATGCTGTACGAGTACTCTACAATGATGTACGAGTACTCTACAATGATGTACGAGTACTATGAGTACTCTACAATGCTGCACGAGTACTCTACAATGCTGCACGCGTACTCTACAATGCTGTACGAGTACTATGAGTACTCTACAATGCTGCACGCGTACTCTACAATGCTGTACGAGTACTATGAGTACTCTACAATGCTGCACGAGTACTCTACAATGCTGCACGCGTACTCTACAATGCTGTACGAGTACTCTACAATGATGTACGAGTACTATGAGTACTCTACAATGCTGTACGAGTACTCTACAATGTTGTACGAGTACTCTACAATGATGTACGAGTACTCTACAATGATGTACGAGTACTCTACAATGCTGTACGAGTACTCTACAATGCTGTACGAGTACTCTACAATGATGTACGAGTACTATGAGTACTCTACAATGCTGCACGAGTACTCTACAATGCTGTACGAGTACTCTACAATGATGTACGAGTACTCTACAATGCTGCACGAGTACTCTACAATGCTGCACGAGTACTCTACAATGATGTACGAGTACTCTACAATGATGTACGAGTACTCTACAGTGTTGTACGAGTACTCTACAATGATGTACGAGTACTCTACAGTGCTGTACGAGTACTCTACAATGATGTACGAGTACTCTACAGTGCTGTACGAGTACTATGAGTACTCTACAATGCTGTACGAGTACTATGAGTACTCTACAATGCTGCACGAGTACTCTACAATGCTGCACGCGTACTCTACAATGCTGTACGAGTACTCTACAATGATGTACGAGTACTATGAGTACTCTACAATGCTGTACGAGTACTCTACAATGTTGTACGAGTACTCTACAATGATGTACGAGTACTCTACAATGATGTACGAGTACTCTACAATGCTGTACGAGTACTCTACAATGCTGTACGAGTACTCTACAATGATGTACGAGTACTATGAGTACTCTACAATGCTGCACGAGTACTCTACAATGCTGTACGAGTACTCTACAATGATGTACGAGTACTCTACAATGCTGCACGAGTACTCTACAATGCTGCACGAGTACTCTACAATGATGTACGAGTACTCTACAATGATGTACGAGTACTCTACAGTGTTGTACGAGTACTCTACAATGATGTACGAGTACTCTACAGTGCTGTACGAGTACTCTACAATGATGTACGAGTACTCTACAGTGCTGTACGAGTACTATGAGTACTCTACAATGCTGTACGAGTACTATGAGTACTCTACAATGTTGTACGAGTACTCTACAATGCTGTACGAGTACTCTACAATGCTGTACGAGTACTCTACAATGCTGTACGAGTACTCTACAATGCTGTACGAGTACTATGAGTACTCTACAATGCTGTACGAGTACTCTACAATGTTGTACGAGTACTCTACAATGCTGTACGAGTACTCTACAATGCTGTACGAGTACTATGAGTTCTCTACAATGCTGTACGAGTACTATGAGTACTCTACAATGCTGTACGAGTACTCTACAGTACAGTGTACACAGTACATACTGGTACAATCAGGTCTCTTGGAACAAGAAACCGCCGAATCCATGCACAATCTCGTCTATAATACTCAATTAATCCTACAAGATTGAGCTGACGAGGATGGATTAAAAGAAATGGATGCCACTTCTAAATCCCTTTAAAATCCTGTATAAATCCCATTAATCTTGTCAGAAGAGAGGGATTTACAGACAGTATAATACTCATTCTTCCACACCATTACCCAAGCGGCGAGGACAAATTAAGGTGATGAATATAATGGAATTTTTGATGATTCTGAAGTGTGTCTGTCTAAGGGTTTGATGAGCTGTGACAGCTGGAGGTGTAGGACCCGGCTATGAAGGGCATAATGAAATAGGAAGGTCGTTGATCAACGGTATTGTTGTGGTTGTTAAATTGATTTCTTGAGAAACTGTGTGTGTGTGTGAGATGTTTTTTCTCTATTCTGTGATGTTCTGTATCGTCTCGTTGATTGGAAATCACTCAGATTGATTCACAGATTCGAGGGGATTCGACGAAACTCGGTTTTCCGTTTGTTAAAACCGTGTATATTGTTATGGTAGGATCTGCTAGCTTAGGATTGGGCTGTATTGGGCTCGGTTGGGTTAGGTTAGGTTAGGATAGGAAGCTTGGTTTCAAAATCCGTGAGCTGTCAGCCACTCCGGCGTCTGAAGTCAGACATTCCGGCGTCTGAAGTCAGACATTCCGGCGTCTGAAGTCAGACATTCCGGCGTCTGAAGTCAGACATTCCGGCGTCTGAAGTCAGACATTCCGGCGTCTGAAGTCAGACATTCCGGCGTCTGAAGTCAGACATTCCGGCGTCTGAAGTCAGACATTCCGGCGTCTGAAGTCAGACATTCCGGCGTCTGAGGTCCGCCACTCTGGCGTCTGAGGTCCGCCACTCTGGCGTCTGTGGGCTTCTGATAGCCCCTATAAGCTGTCGTATGTAAATCAGACGACTGTTGTAAGCAGGAGTGGGAGGCATAAATATGTCTCTCGCAATCAGAAGTAGTTTTGTGGAGCGGGAAACTCCACATCTTGAAACAACAGTTAAAGCAACAGTTAAAGCAACAGTTAAAGCAACAGTTAAAGCAACAGTTAAAGCAACAGTTGAAGCAACAGTTGAAGCAACAGTTGAAGCAACAGTTGAAGCAACAGTTGAAGCAACAGTTGAAGCAACAGTTGAAGCAACAGTTGAAGCAACAGTTGAAGCAACAGTTGAAGCAACAGTTGAAGCAACAGGTGACGCAACAGTTGAAGCAACAGTTGAAGCAACAGTTGAAGCAACAGTTGAAGCAACAGTTGAAGCAACAGTTGAAGCAACAGTTGAAGCAACAGTTGAAGCAACAGTTGAAGCAACAGTTGAAGCAACAGTTGAAGCAACAGTTGAAGCAACAGTTGAAGCAACAGGTGACGCAACAGTTGAAGCAACAGTTGAAGCAACAGGTGACGCAACAGTTGAAGCAACAGTTGAAGCAACAGGTGACGCAACAGTTGAAGCAACATTTGAAGCAACAGGTGACGCAACAGTTGAAGCAACAGTTGAAGCAACAGTTAAAGCAACAGTTGAAGCAACAGTTGAAGCAACAGTTGAAGCAACAGTTGAAGCAACAGTTGAAGCAACAGTTGAAGCAACAGGTGACGCAACAGTTGAAGCAACAGTTGAAGCAACAGGTGACGCAACAGTTGAAGCAACAGTTGAAGCAACAGTTGAAGCAACAGTTGAAGCAACAGTTGAAGCAACAGGTGACGCAACAGTTGAAGCAACAGTTGAAGCAACAGGTGACGCAACAGTTGAAGCAACAGTTGAAGCAACAGGTGACGCAACAGTTGAAGCAACAGTTGAAGCAACAGTTGAAGCAACAGTTGAAGCAACAGTTAAAGCAACAGTTAAAGCAACAGTTAAAGCAACAGTTGAAGCAACATTTGAAGCAACAGTTGAAGCAACATTTGAAGCAACAGGTGACGCAACAGTTGAAGCAACAGTTAAAGCAACAGTTAAAGCAACAGTTGAAGCAACAGGTGACGCAACAGTTGAAGCAACAGTTGAAGCAACAGGTGACGCAACAGTTGAAGCAACAGGTGACGCAACAGTTGAAGCAACAGTTGAAGCAACAGGTGACGCAACAGTTGAAGCAACAGTTGAAGCAACAGTTGAAGCAACAGTTGAAGCAACAGTTGAAGCAACAGTTAAAGCAACAGTTAAAGCAACAGTTGAAGCAACAGTTAAAGCAACAGTTGAAGCAACAGTTGAAGCAACAGTTAAAGCAACAGTTAAAGCAACAGTTAAAGCAACATTTGAAGCAACAGTTGAAGCAACAGTTGAAGCAACAGTTGAAGCAACAGGTGACGCAACAGTTGAAGCAACAGGTGACGCAACAGTTGAAGCAACAGTTGAAGCAACAGGTGAAGCAACAGTTGAAGCAACAGTTGAAGCAACAGTTAAAGCAACAGTTGAAGCAACAGTTGAAGCAACAGTTGAAGCAACAGTTGAAGCAACAGTTAAAGCAACAGGTGACGCAACAGTTGAAGCAACAGGTGAAGCAACAGTTGAAGCAACAGGTGAAGCAACAGTTGAAGCAACAGGTGACGCAACAGTTGAAGCATAAATCACTCAGTCTACTTTAGTTTATCTGATTTAAAATACAACAGTTTAATAAACACAATTATATAATTGATTTTTTTGTCGAAAATAATAAAAAAAGTCACCCAGAACTCGTCCCGGGATCAGAGAGTCTCCAGCTTTTCCAATTAACTATAGACTATAGGTGGATAAAGTGCCATACGTACGTACGTACATACATACATACATACATACATACATACATACATACATACATACATACATACATACATACATATGTATGTATGTACGGACCAAAGAGCCAAAGCTCAACCCCCGCAAGCACAATTAGGTGAGTACACACACACACACACACACACACACACACACACACACACACACACACACACACACACAGCCCAGTAGGCTCAGGAACCTGTACATCAGTTGATTGACGGTTGAGAGGCGGGACCAAAGAGCCAGAGCTCAACCCCCGCAAGCACAACTAGGTTAGTACCCAGTCATCAACAGTGTACCAATCAAACAAGCTGATTGGTCAGCAAGTTATCGTGTCGACCAATCAAGGGGCCAGAGATGTACCTTGGTTTTCCTTACGAATTAAGGCCTATATCAAAAGTCTGATATTGGCCTTAAGTCCAAGGCCCAACCAATAAAAATTAATTTTTTTGAAGTGAATCTCAATATACTTCAATACAAAGCTCACTCGTGATTGGTCGACTGGCTAATCCAGCTAGATTGTAATTGGCTGACGATCAGTGGGTCGAGGGGGGTGGAATTGGCCTGTAGGCTGTGATTCATACGTCAGGCTGCGAGCAGCCGCGTCCAACAGCCTGGTTGATCAGTCTAGCAACCAGGAGGCCTGGTCGACGACCGGGCCGCGGGGACGCTGAGCCCCGGAAGCACCTCAAGGTATAACACCTGCTCTCATTACTAATATGATAATAAAAACAAACCATTAATAAAAATAATAAATTTTATTGTGGACTTAAGTCCCAAATACAGTCATACTTTGTTAATAATACAGAACATACAGGAGCTGGCGACATACAGGAGTATACACAGCAACATGAGTATACACAACATACATGAGTATACACAGAAACATGAGTATACACAGAAACATGAGTATACACAACAACATGAGTATACACAGCAACATACAGGAGTATACACAGCAACATACATGAGTATACACAGCAACATAAGTATACACAGCAACATACATGAGTATACACAGCAACATACATGAGTATACACAGAAACATGAGTATACACAGCAACATACATGAGTATACACATCAACATACATGAGTATACACACCAACATACATGAGTATACACACCAAAATACATGAGTATACACACCAACATACAGGAGTATACACAGCAACATACATGAGTATACACACCAACATACAGGAGTATACACAGCAACAAACATGAGTATACACAGCAACATGAGTATACACAGCAACATACAGGAGTATACACAGCAACATACAGGAGTAGACACAGCAACATACAGGAGTATACACAGAAACATGAGTATACACAGAAACATGAGTATACACAACAACATGAGTATACACAGCAACATACAGGAGTATACACAGCAACATACATGAGTATACACAGAAACATGAGTATACACAGAAACATGAGTATACACAGCAACATACATGAGTATACACAGCAACATACACGAGTATACACACCAACATACATAAGTATACACACCAAAATACATGAGTATACACACCAACATACAGGAGTATACACAGCAACATACATGAGTATACACACCAAAATACATGAGTATACACACCAACATACAGGAGTATACACAGCAACAAACATGAGTATACACAGCAACTGGAGTATACACAGCAACAGGAGTATACACAGCAACATACAGGAGTATACACAGCAACATACAGGAGTATACACAGCAACATACAGGAGTATACACAGCAACATACAGGAGTATACACAGCACATACAGGGAGTATACACAGCAACATACAGGAGTATACACAGCAACATACAGGAGTATACACAGCAACATACAGGAGTATACACAGCAACATACAGGAGTATACACAGCAACATACAGGAGTATACACAACAACATACAGGAGTATACACAGCAACATACAGGAGTATACACAGCAACATACAGGAGTATACACAGCAACATACAGGAGTATACACAGCAACATACAGGAGTATACACAGCGACATGAGTATACACAGCAACATACAGGAGTATACACAGCAACATACAGGAGTATACACAACAACATACAGGAGTATACACAGCAACATACAGGAGTATACACAGCAACATACAGGAGTATACACAGCAACATACAGGAGTATACACAGCAACATAAGTATACACAGCAACATACAGGAGTATACACAGCAACATACAGGAGTATACACAGCAACATACAGGAGTATACACAGCAACATACAGGAGTATACACGACAACATACAGGAGGAATATACAGGGCAAACATACAGAAATAGTATAAAATACAGGAGTAGCAAACACATCAACATACAAGATGCCAGTATACAGACACAGTATACATAATACATAATACACTGAGACAACATTAGAGAGAGCAAACACCAGACTGAACCCAGATATACAGGGAAGTATAACGAAGTATACACGACAGAAATCACGGTTGTATAACCCCCCAGAGAGGTGTGTATACACAGCAGTAATACACCTTCGTATACAGCATGGCGTCGTGGGGTTTTTTGTAGTATTAGGGCATTTGGGCACCAGTCTATTGTAGACATTCTGATGCTATGCAAGTTTAGCTGCTAGCCGGATGGTAGGGCCTGCTGCTAGCCGGATGGTAGGAGGTCCTGTTGCTAGCCGGATGGTAGGTCCTGTTGCTAGCCGGATGGTAGGTCCTGCTGCTAGCCGGATGGTAGGAGGTCCTGTTGCTAGCTGGATGATAGGAGGTCCTGCTGCTAGCCGGATGATAGGTCCTGCTGCTAGCCGGATGGTAGGTCCTGTTGCTAGCCGGATGGTAGGAGGTCCTGTTGCTAGCCGGATGGTAGGTCCTGCTGCTAGCCGGATGGTAGGTCCTGCTGCTAGCCGGATGGTAGGGCCTGCTGCTAGCCGGATGGTAGGGCCTGCTGCTAGCCGGATGGTAGGTCCTGCTGCTAGCCGGATGGTAGGTCCTGTTGCTAGCCGGATGGTAGGTCCTGTTGCTAGCCGGATGGTAGGTCCTATTGCTAGCCGGATGGTAGGTCCTGCTGCTAGCCGGATGGTAGGTCCTGCTGCTAGCCGGATGGTAGGTCCTGTTGCTAGCCGGATGGTAGGTCCTGCTGCTAGCCGGATGGTAGGTCCTGTTGCTAGCCGGATGGTAGGTCCTGCTGCTAGCCGGATGGTAGGGCCTGCTGCTAGCCGGATGGTAGGTCCTGCTGCTAGCCGGATGGTAGGGCCTGCTGCTAGCCGGATGGTAGGGCCTGCTGCTAGCCGGATGGTAGGTCCTGCTGCTAGCCGGATGGTAGGTCCTGCTGCTAGCCGGATGGTAGGTCCTGTTGCTAGCCGGATGGTAGGTCCTGCTGCTAGCCGGATGGTAGGTCCTGTTGCTAGCCGGATGGTAGGTCCTGCTGCTAGCCGGATGGTAGGGCCTGCTGCTAGCCGGATGGTAGGTCCTGCTGCTAGCCGGATGGTAGGGCCTGCTGCTAGCCGGATGGTAGGTCCTGTTGCTACCCGGATGGTAGGGCCTGCTGCTAGCCGGATGGTAGGGCCTGCTGCTAGCCGGATGGTAGGTCCTGTTGCTAGCCGGATTGTAGGTCCTATTGCTAGCCGGATGGTAGGTCCTGCTGCTAGCCGGATGGTAGGTCCTGTTGCTAGCCGGATGGTAGGAGGTCCTGTTGCTAGCCGGATGGTAGGTCCTGTTGCTAGCCGGATGATAGGAGGTCCTGTTACTAGCTGGATGATAGGAGGTCCTGCTGCTAGCCGGATGGTAGGTCCTGCTGCTAGCCGGATGGTAGGTCCTGTTGCTAGCCGGATGGTAGGAGGTCCTGTTGCTAGCCAGATGGTAGGTCCTGTTGCTAGCCGGATGGTAGGTCCTGTTGCTAGCCGGATGGTAGGTCCTGCTGCTAGCCGGATGATAGGTCCTGCTGCTAGCCGGATGGTAGGTCCTGTTGCTAGCCGGATGGTAGGTCCTGCTGCTAGCCGGATGATAGGAGGTCCTGTTGCTAGCCGGATGATAGGAGGTCCTGCTGCTAGCGGATGGTAGGTCCTGTTGCTAGCCGGATGGTAGGAGGTCCCTACAGTTCCTGTACCTGTGTAGCTACAGTTCCTGTACCTGTGTAGCTACAGCACCTGTACCTGTGTAGCTACAGTTCCTGTACCTGTGTAGCTACAGTTCCTGTACCTTGTGTAGCTACAGCTCCTGTACCTGTGTAGCTACAGCTCCTGTACCTGTTTGGCTACAGTTCCTGTACCTGTGTAGCTACAGCACCTGTACCTGTGTAGCTACAGTTCCTGTACCTGTGTAGCTACAGCTCCTGTACCTGTGTAGCTACAGCTCCGGTACCTGTGTAGCTACAGCTTCCCTCCCTGTACCTGTGTGGATACAGTTCCTGTACCTGTGTGGATACAGTTCCTGTACCTGTGTGGCTACAGTTCCTGTACCTGTGTGGCTACAGTTCCTGTACCTGTGTGGCTACAGTTCCTGTACCTGTGTGGCTACAGTTCCTGTACCTGTGTGGCTACAGTTCCTGTACCTGTGTGGCTACAGTTCCTGTACCTGTGTGGCTACAGTTCCTGTACCTGTGTGGCTACAGTTCCTGTACCTGTGTGGCTACAGTTCCTGTACCTGTGTGGCTACAGTTCCTGTACCTGTGTGGCTACAGTTCCTGTACTGTGTAGCTACAGCTCGTGTACCTGTGTAGCTACAGTTCCTGTACCTGTGTGGATACAGTTCCTGTACCTGTGTGGCTACAGTTCCTGTACTGTGTAGCTACAGTTCCTGTACCTGTGTAGCTACCAGTTCCTGTACCTGT